GGCAGGCATGAACGCCGGTGGAGCCATACCTCAGCTCTGTTTTGATCTCCTCGTAGTCCGCCTGTGCCTGCAGCTTCTCCTCCAGCTTCTGCGGAGCAGAGAGGTGGGAAGTCCTCACAACCAGTTCCTGGTGCACACCCGGCACAGCCGGACCCACATCCCCTCCCACTCCCCAGCAAGTCCCCAGCCCCCATGGGTGCACCTCGATGGCTTCATTCTTGGCAGCCAGCTGCCCCTCCAGCTCGGCGATTTGGTTGGCAGAGGACTCCTCCAGCTCCTGCAGTGAGCTTTGGAGGTGCTGGACGTCCTTCAGGAGCCGCAGGATCTCCCGGTCCTTGGCAGCCAGAGCCGCCTCCAGCCTCGACCCTGAGCACATGGAATAGTTCACTTTGTCCTGCCGGGAGAGGGGACACCGTCAGTCCCAGCCGCCCGACGCGGGGACAAAGGCCACCCTCCCCATCAGATGCAACCTCACGGGGAGCAGGCGAGACCAGGACTCATTCCTGCGGGACGGGGACGCAGGGTGACACAGCCCTGGGGAGGGACGGACCTTTCCTCTGCCCTTAAAGGTCTCACAGGTACATCTCAGTGCTATGGGGGTGCACATCCCCCCTCCCCGGAGGAGCCTGGGGCTGCAGGTAGGGCATGGCCAATGCTACCACCCCATGGTGGGAAAACACCTCGGTCATGGGCATTTCAGGCTTGCTCCCAAACACGGTGGGAGCTCCCAAAGGCAAAAGGCTGGTCCTGAATGCAACGGGATGGTCTTGAGCACAACAGGATGCTCCTGAACATGCTAGGGTGCTCCTGGATGCTATGGGGTGCTCCTAGCTCTGATGGGTGCTCCTGGATGCTATGGGGTGCTCCCAGCTATGACGGGGTGCTTCCAAGTGCAATGGGATGCTCCTGGATGCTATGGAGTGCTCCTGGATGCTATGGGGTGCTCCCAGCTATGATGGGGTGCTTCCAGGTGCAATGAGATGCTCCTGGATGCTATGGGGTGCTCCTGGATGCGATGGGGCGCTCCCAGCTATGATGGAGTGCTTCCAGGTGCAATGGGATGCTCCTGGATCCTATGGGGTGCTTCCAGGTATGATGGGGTGCTTCTAAGTGCAATGGGATGCTCCTGGATACTATGGGGTGCTCCCAGCTATGATGGGGTGCTGCTCCTGGATGCTATGGGATGCTCCCAGCTATGATGGGGTGCTTCCGAGTGCAATGAGATGCTCCTGGATGCTATG